ACGTCTTCGTGTGACGACCCCCCGCCCCCCCGATCTCCCTGGCTAGATGCTGCCTGCATGCTACCAAAAAAAAAAAGCTGTGAGAAAGCCTCTGCTTTTCAACGCCACCTTGTGAATTATCTCCTGAACTGCAGTTCAGCCTCAGGATCCTGCTCAGCGTGACCCAAGCACATGCTTTTGTTCTTTCACAGTTACTTTTCTTTTTAATTGTCCAAAGAGGCATGAAACGCTGCAGTAAACCAATCTTGCACAGTCTAACTAGCGAGGGGATCAGCTGGGAGGGGAAGTGACAGCTGCCTCTGCACCAGACCCGTTTGGCTTTGTCGCCAGCAGGCGCAGAAGAACCACCCAGCTTGGGCTGGCCTTTGCTCCAGGGAGGCTTCTCAAGTGGCGCTGGGGGAGTAGGTGTCACTCCGGACATCCCACAGCTTAGCATTTCTCCTCCAAAATGGCTAGACGGACTAGAATGGGGGACGCAGCGGAAGGGGGCTACAGCTGCCCAGCCAGCGATCCCCATGCAGTCCTCCTGACAACGCGGCAGCTGTTTAGACCTATGGCTTCCAGGACAAAATGTGTCCTGTGTCCAGGCAGGGGTTCATTTGGGTAGGAACAAGCCAGCATCCTCCCTCCTGCAATGTCCATCATCACCAGGCAGCAACGGCACTCAGGCCCTGGGGCAGTTTCAGCCCAGCTGGACATGGGGCCTTTTTCAAGTAAATCACGCACTGTGGAAAGACTGTGCTGGTCCATGCACATTCCCGCCACACTTTCCAAGAGTTGGATAAGTATGAACGGAAGAGTTTTCCTGCCATGTGGAGCAGCAACAAACAACCCTTCAAGGTGTTTTGGATGATGTTTTACCTGAGTGGGGGCACTGATGAGAGAAACATTGTATCCGTACTGAAAGGTCCCTCCAATTCCAGCCGCACACATAGTCCAGAAGAGGGTCCAGGTTGGGAGCTAGAGAAAGAAAGAAGTCCAAAATGCCGTGGTCAAGAAGAGCCGGGCTACCGGAAACCGGCCATTTTAAGCACCCAGTTCTGACTCAGAGAAAAGGCCTTTTCATTTCGTGGAGCAGATGACCAGGGCCATCTGAAGCCAGGGGTGGAGGCATTTTTTGTTAACCGAGCCACTGTTTTCTCCAGCCTAGGAAGACTGCATCGGCAGAAGGAGATGACGGCCTATTGGTGGACCATCAGTAATTCCCTCAGTTCTGAACTACGAGGTGGAAAGCCAGAGATAATCTTTTACTCTATAAATTATTAACTGCCAAAGAACGAATAAGACGAGTCAACCACAAATCAGTCGAAGAACATCATGCCGCTATTTCTTCCTTCCGCTAGCTGTTTGTGGTTCTTTCTCTGCTCAGCAGCCTTCGCGCTCCTTACCGTCGGAGCTCTCCTCCCGGGTCAGTCTACAAAAGCTGGACGTCCAAAATTCTTGCCTGTTCACGCTTGCGAAGAGCTCCTTTGGCTACAGGGGAGTTCTCACTTCAGATGGTTTAGGGTTAGGGTTGACACGCGGACATTTCCCTGGGCTCTGATGTGTCAGAAAACAAGGCAGGGCGGGGGTGGGGGGCAAGCTCCCTTTTTACCGACCAGCTGCAATATTTTTCCAGCTGAGGCGGTGGCAGTTAAGGGAACTGCCCCTTAGAAAATCCCAGAGCAGCCAGCTGTTCCCAGCACCTGCGCAGACACCCACAAGGGCACCCTTTCTACCTCCTGGGGGACGACACAGAGAACCCCACGGAGGGTTTGCAGAAGCCAGAACCGGAGGTCAGACCTGGTTCAACACAGCCCTGACAGCCGGCAGAACACCTCTGCGCCCCACCCCCCCGACGCAGCCCTTCCAGCAACCGTCCTCCCGAGGGCGGACAGCCGCCCCTCGGCTGCGGAGAGAGCCCGGGAATCCTCCTCGCGGCGGCGGCGAGGCAGACGGACCGTCTACAGAGCCGGTCGCTCGGCCTTCCCTCCGACATCCCGCTCTCCTGGACTCGGAG